CCCTAAATGTCCGTATCTCAACACAAGTGTCAGAGAGGACGCGGATAGGGGTTGCAAAGCTCGAGAGTACCCTTGAGCTGCAAATACCCGCAGCTTGGGACTGGCACGATGACAAGAGTAGCCCGGCCGGCTCTGGGGAGCTGCCCCTTCAATGCAATCTCCAAAGGAGTGCTGCATGGTTTGCCTAGACCGCATCAAGATCGAGTCAAAGATCTTCGGTTGTGCAGGCGGCACTATCTTTTGTTGTGCCAGACAGGAAGCTTCAAGCGCATCCGACACGTTCACTCGCCTATGACCGGGACCGAACCCCAAAGCTTTGACGACAGGGTTGACGGGACGTTGTGTGCGCTGCAATGCGAGGTGTACGGGAGCGAGCGAGGGTGTCACGGAGCTTGACTTTCGGATCTGAGTATCCGGACAAATTGGCATGCTCATTGTGTGGGCGCTGAGGTTCATGCTGCGTCTGAAAGATTTGCACAGATCGCATCCGGCGGCTTGAGCCGGTCGAGACAGCGGGGGAAAGGAAGCGGGAGAGGGGCGGTCATCGGAGCAGGCAGCAAGAGAGTCCGGTCCCACCGACCAGCTGAGAGCCAGCGAGGTAGTGGTCACCGAGCAGCCGGGGCTCAGCATCGAGCCGTCGAGCCCTAGCCGGCGGAATGGGGGCGACGGAGCGGAGAAGGAAGGGTCGCCGGGGTTTGGCGGAGGAGAGGCAGTCCGGGAGTCAGGCCTGGCGACGAGCGACTCTATCGCGCGGGAAACCAACAGAGAGAGGCGGAGGAAGCGGAGGTTGATCAGCCGGAGCGCAGCCGAGGAGAGGCGGAAATCAGCTAGGAAGAAGAGGCGTCGGGATTTCGGGGCTCGGGCTGAGAGGATCATCACGAGAACGAACTTAGAAGTTGGTTTCAACGGTGAAAGAGGCAATGAAAGGAGGGGAATTTGCGATCGAAAAGGAAATTTTCAAGGACGTCCTGGTGATGATTATTGAAACACGGCGTTGTTGGAAATGAATGATCGAATGATCAAGTTCACACAATACTTATCGAGTGTTCGGGGTCTAGCGGTGCTAAAGCTATGCAGTCTGTGTGCTATGCTAGAGTCACTCAAGTAGAGTCACACTCCTAGTCTAGGTCTACATTGATAGCCTAGTAGGTTCAGTTGACCGCGAGTAAGCAAGTCCGACAGTTTCGCGCAAATCTGACTATCTACGGCTATTATCGAACCTAATCATTATGGCTTTTATCTCAATAAGTCATTCGGGTGTAACGGTGTAACCTGCGCGCATTTAAACCGCCAACCGCTAACTACCAATTATCGTCGAACTCCCGTCGACGTCACCCAAAAGATCGTGCTCAGTAAATGCCCGAATCTCCACACTCCCCCACACACTAATGACTTATGCAATTCCTATCTCGCTCTTGCACTTCTTGAACTTCCCCGGTGCCAACGCCTTGTCATGATGTCTGCCTTCATGTCCCCCGTCATGTAGTACGCGAACGCAACCTCCTTACGTGCCACAAGCTCCCGTGTAAAGTGATGAATCACGTCAATGTGCTTGACCGCTATGACGCGATCGGGTGCTTCAGGAGCCGTATTGCCCCTTGGTTGTCGCAGTAGATCTGCACCGTTCCAAAGTCCAACTCAAGATTTTCTCCGAGCTTGCGGAACCACATCGTCTCTTTCGCCGCTTGCGCTGCGCTCATGTGATCCGCCTCTACCGTCGAGGCCACCATTGGCTGCAGCCTACTCGACCAGCTCATCGCCCCCCCGTATATCAAGAAGAGTATCCCGTTGTGGACCGCTTTGTGTCCATGTCACCAGCGTAATCCGCGTCGCAATATACGATGAGAGTTTCTCCGCTCCCCCCAAGGGTTATCCGGTCCTCTGCCGTACCCGCCAGGTGTTGTAAGTACGGACCGTGATGACGTCACGAGTCCCGTACTTGAACCAAGCACGCTACCAACTGGACAATACTCGCACAACAAAATGTGGGACCGGAGATCATGTCAACCTCTGTTAGAATCCGGTGATTATGGTCAGCCGGATTACTCCGTGATTAGGGTTCGGACCGAGTTAGGGTTTGAACTAGTGAGCGCCGGTGTGCGTGCACAGCGGTTAGGCGGTTAACCTTGGAGGTTAGGCGGTTGAGAGGGCCGCCGATATGGAGCCGTAGATGAGGATATCGATGGCTATGATTGAGTGTGAGTGTGATCTAGGCTAGTGAGCCTAGTAGTGTGTGAC